AAGAAAGTCACATCAATCAAATAGTCCATCTCTCTGGCTCTGGTGTTGTAGAGTATACTTCAGATTTCAGTGATGGTTATAAGGAACAAATTCTCAGTTTTGGGACCAGACACCCAAGAGGAAAGGCTCAGAAGACCTGGAAACTTCTTATTGGAGATTGCCATATCAGTTATGGATGTTAAAATGCATGGTTTGTGTGTTGATGCTGCTATCACTGGCATAATGACTCCTCCATTAGCAGAGCTCCAGGTGATTCCTTATATAATTGCCCTGCCACTTGCAAATGGATTCTATAGAAGTTCTTCAAATGGTCTAAAAGGTTTTGAGTAATTGTTGGGTACATGATTTCCAAAATAGTTTAAGCATAGAAACTATATGTATTCTTACAGTCAGTACATCCAAAGTTTATCTGTTGGTTTATTCTTTGTTGGCTGGCCTGATCCGACCTGACTTCAAGATCCGACACCAGATTTTAATACACAGGTAAAAGTGGAAAGTTTTTTTTTTTTTTTTTAATTTTCTTGAGATGTTAACCTAGAAGTGTTTAAAAAATTGATGATTTTTGCTTAACTACTCAACTAGATATTTTTGCTTACAGATGACAATGGTATATCCTGCAGGCATCCTAAACTTCTGTTGAACAAAGAGAGGCATCTTAAAATGTAAATGTCTTTACATTTTGTCATTATTTTAGTATTATCTCCATGAATCATTTCTTATTTCTGAGATCAGCTGCTAAGATAGACAAAGTCTAAAGAACATAGTCTAAGCATTTAAAAGAATTGTTTCTGTGGTTCATTTTTAGTTATGCTGCTTGTTCTTTTTCCATTAAATAATAGAAACTTTGTGAAGTTATTGTAATATTTGAATTCAGCTGCTTTCATTGTTGGACAGTCAAGTCAAACTTACTACTGCACAGTCAATATAGGAGATGATGCTGTGATCTTAGGTTTTCATTGTGTTTTGCAATAATATAATTTGCAGCTTATTGCATAATAAATATGTAATACCCCGAAATTTTGCGATATTTAGCATTAAGTTAAGGACTTTTATGAGAGGAAATATTATGTTGGGGCTTAATAGTGAATATTTCAAAAGTCAAGGGGCTTAAAAGAGTAGAATTTGGATAAGGATGGCTTATTTCTTTTTCTCCTTTTCCTCTTCTTCTCAGCCCGATTCTGCTCTTCTTCTTCTTCTTCCCGCTGCAGCCAAAAAAAAAAAAGGGAACCCAGTCAGCCTTTGAGAAACTGGTGAGAAAGCTTGGTTTTCTCCTTCTTTTCTTGCTCTAGAACACACCTAGAACCCAGAAATCTTCCCCCCCCTGCTGGAAAAGCCGGATCTGCCCTGCTCTGCTTTGTCCTTCCGCCGGCTGCTCTTGATTGTGGGTGATTTCTAGGCATTTCTTTCGGTAAGAACAGCCCCTAATTCCTTTGTTCTTGCTTGAATTGGCTTGGGTTAACTTTGATTGCTCTTGTTTCCTTCAATTTTGGGTAGACCCGTGAGCTTCCCTGCAGCTTGCCGCCGGCCTCTTCCCCCCCTGCAGCTCCGGTTTCTACAGCTGGGGAATTATGGTATGTGACAGCCTTTTTAGGCTTAAATTGTCCATTTTGTTTGCTGCCTTGTGTGTCCGAATTTGACAGAAAATTGAGGAGTAATTTCGGTAGTTTTAGGACAAGTTTAAGTGTTAATTCAAGTGGGATTTATGTGATTGAGTGTTAATTGACTGCTATGTGATTTTTGGAGTGCAATCCCGTGAGATTAGCTAGTGTTTTGGCCAATTTTTGGAAGTGCAGTTACTGTTCACGTCGGGGTCACTGTTCACCGGCACTGTTCACAGGTTACTGTTCACACCCCGAGGGCCAACATTTAACGGGAATTTAAATGATTAGTTTGTGATATGAGAACGAATTTGGAGATGTCCGATCATGTG